TCCTTTTATCTTATTGTAAATGAAGGAGAGGTTCTCCCTAAACTGAGAGCAGCTGCATGCTTGGAGGGGCTTAGGGGCTGTTCCCTCAGAAAGATGCTCTGTCACTCCCCTGCCCAGCTCAGTAGTTCCAACGGAGGTGATTAGCAATGGCATTGAGGGGAACTAAATTCAGGAGGAAGCCTGGAGAAACATCATTGAATGAGCCTAGAGTTAGATGCTGTCTAAGCTACAAGTACAGGTGTGTCTTCATAACCAGCTCATCCCTCTTTGGCAGAGTCTGTAACCAAGCATGCAATAGAAAGGAGTATGCCTAGTCTGCATCCCTCTGTCGGCAGAGGGATGCAGATTAGGCAGGACGACATTGCAAATGAAGCAGGGATTTAAATCTCCCGTGCTTGATTTGCATAAAAATGGCTGACGTTTTTGCAGACTCAGCCTTTGTCGGCAAAAAGTGGCAGTCTAGAGGGGGATCTGTTGAGAAAGAAAGCTTTTTTTGACAGATCCCTTATGCCTCCTGCAAAGAGGTTTACAGGATCTGTCGAAAAAGGCTTTCTTTCTCGACAGATCCCTCTCTAGACAGCTGCTGTTTGCCAAAAAAAGTGCTGAGTCAGCAAAAACGGTGGCAATTTTTATGCAAATTAAGCGTGGGATAGTTAAATCCCCGCTTCATTTGCAATGTCGACCTGCCTAATCTGCATCCCTCTGGTGACAGAGGAATGCAGTCTAGACATACCCAAGGTGTCCACATGGCCACTTTTCGCCCAGTACGTCCCTGTTTATCTGCTGAGCTGTGATAGTGCATCCTGGGAAATTATAGGAAGCCATCTACTCTTCTCTGTGAGAGGCGAGCCCATGCAGGAAGGGCTACTGGCCAAGATATAACAAGAAATGAACTGCGGCCCAGGGTGGGTCATCTTTATTGGTGGCTAAGACAATTTAAGGGCCAAGACTTTCCAAAGGAGCTAGTAGTACTGTCAGGCCAAACTGAGGGTATATCTTACACTGCAGAGTTTTTTTGGAAAAACGACTGTTTTTTAAAAAAAAACTCACTTACATCCACACTGCAATCATGTTCTTTCAGAAAAAAAATCGAAAGAACAGAGGGTTTTTTCCGACATTGGTAAACTTCTTTCTACGTGGAAGCAGCCTTTTTCCAAAAGAGCTATTTTGGAAAAAGGCTTGTGTGAATGGGGAAGAGGGAGTTCTTTTGAAAGAAGAGGAAAGAGGAAAAAGCACAGATGCCCTGGTGGCTACTCCGTCCATAATGATCATAGTTTAAATGCGAGAGAGCATTCATTCAGTGTGGACGCTATGTTTCGAAAAAGCAGATCTCTTTTTCAATGCGCTTTGGCAGTGTGGACGCTCACTTTTGGAAGAAGCTTTTTCAGAAGAGCTCTTCCAGAAAAGCTTCTTCCGAAAGAAGCCTGCAGTCTAGATCAGTGTTTCTCAACCTGTGGTATGAGTACCCTTAGGGGTACTCGATAGAAGTCTGGGCAGTACGTCAACTCAACTGAAATTTAGAGAAAACTGAATTTTTGTTTTAAGTTTTACAGTGTTTTATTATGTTTGTACTTTTTACAGCCAAAAATTTCATTGCCCACCCAGCTACGATTAAGTTGTTTAAACAAATGTGTTGCAATGGTAGAAAAACATTTGTGTGTCTGAAAACTGCATGTACTGGGGGTACTTATAATTTTTTTAAAGGGGTACTTTATTAAAATAGGTTGAGAAACACTGATCTAGATGTAGCCTGGGACACTTGGCAAGAGTCTTATGTTCGGAGCACGAGATTCAGCTCTGTCTGACATTCAAACCCTTTTAAGGTACCTCATAGAGGGCACCTAAAAGCAAAAAGGTCACTTTGCAAATCTTGGTTCTGAGTTGTAGCAACATCCACCACTTCGATGGGCCCAGCCTGTAGCTCCAAACAAAGCCTGGCTCACCTGTCAGCTCTTCAAGAAGTACAGCTCCATTCCTTACAGGGCGGCTTCTGGGTGTATCAGACCTCAGGTGCTTGGGGCTGGAAAATGCTTGGCTCAGCTTGGCTTCCAGGTAAAGATAAACAACAGGCCCTGTCCTGTCAGGCGGTTGCCTGGATTTGGTTCTTCTGAGATGTCAGTTCAGTCAAGACACCCACCCTTACGCAGCATGTGAGTGGTTGGGCCTTCCCTTCCTCACTCTACCTTCTCCTGAGCACTTTCACACAGGAGGGCTACGTCTAGACTGGCATGATTTTCCGGAAATGCTTTTAACGGAAAAGTTTTCCGTTAAAGCATTTTCGGAACAGAGCTTCTAGATTGGCACGGATGCTTTTCCGCAAAAGCGCTTTTTGCGGAAAAGCGTCCGTGGCCAATCTAGATGCGCTTTTCTGCAAAAAAAGCCCTGACTGCCATTCTCGCAATCGGGGCTTTTTTGCGGAAAACAAATCTGAGCTGTCTACACTGGCCCTTTTGCACAAAAGTTTTGCGCAAAAGGACTTTTGCCTGAATGGGAGCAGCATAGTATTTCCGCAAGAACACTGACAATCTTACATGAGATCGTCAGTGCTTTTCCGGAAATTCAAGCGGCCAGTGTAGACAGCTGGCAAGTTTTTCCGGAAAAGTGGCTGATTTTCTGGAAAAACTGGCCAGTCTAGACACAGCCAAGCTACATAGCTATGGCCCTGCCTCTGGGAAACCATGTTAACTCTTTCCTCACCCATCGAGGGACAGGTCCTGCACACCCCATCACACTACCTCAGTAGGCAATAAACACCCATAGCACCTAGAGCAATGCAGTCTGGGATTTCCTGCTGCACACAGAATAGGGAGGATTCAGGAACATGGCTGAGAAGGGTTCTGTCCATACTGCCAAATCCTGTGGTGTGACCTGTTTACAGCAACAAAGACACATGTGAGCCTAGGTGGCTGGCAAGGGCTACACATGGTTAGCTGCCATGGTTTCCACCCAACTATATTGTGTGAGGAGACCACCTGTGCCACTAACTTTTTTGTTTAAATAAAGTTCTAGTAGGAACAGGGCTTGTGCTGATAAGAAGTGTGCCAGGGGGGCATGTCCGAACTAAAGGGGCTGTTAGTAGGGTTGCTAGATGTCTGGTTTTCACCCGGACAGTCCAGTAACTGTGTCTTCTGTCTGGTTAAAAAAAACGAATTTTTTTTCCTGTTTTTCATGGACGGAAGTCAGGTGGGGACATTTTTCCCTTGCCGTGTCTGGTGGGGGGGCTGGGAATGTGGCAATTTAAAGGTGCAGCAACCTTTTGCTCAACAACCTTTTGTTCAACATGGTCCCCTGCCATGTTCTGGATTTTTTGGACGTTAGTATAGTCATTATGAGGAAAAATATTGTCCTAGTAATATGCTCATTTTGCAGCATTGTAGGATGCCTGAGGGAGACATTGGGTCCATTAAAGCCCCTTAGCAGTAGAGCTTGTTGAAAATCAGAGTTGCCAGCATGTGGAGTTTTCTGATATTTTGATATTTGCTTTTATATGGAGTCAGGGTGAAAAGTAAAACATCAACGTTTTCTAGGGGGTGGAAAGTTCTGGACAAAGTTAACTGAGAAGTGTCAAAACATTTAGTTTGTAGAACCAAACTGAAGTGTTTTGTTTTACCTCCATTCAACATTAATTTGTCTCTTTTTGAGCTGCTGCAGTGCTCTTTTGGGAATTGTTGTTTGGATGCCTGCGGGCCAAGCCTCCTGGCTGGGCTACATCATCTGTGATAGACTGTGATCCTCTGACTCCCATGATGCACTGCACCAGCTTCACCACAGAGGAAGATTATGGTGCATCATTAGAGGGATAGCTCGGTTGGCTGGGAGGTTTTCCCACAGAGGCAAATGGTAGCAAGAATCTATAACTCCCTCTAGGCACCATGGCAACTTGGACAGACACAGATTAATGATAAACTGATATTAAAAATACTATTTTGTTTTCCTGAGTTAAAAAGATAAAAAAGATTCAGCAACACAGATTTCCCCCATAGAAAATTCTGATTTTGCAGAAATGGGGGGAAAAAAAGTGTCATTTAAATTTCTCAAACAGCTCAACTTAAATGTTACCTCCTGTCACAACCCATCCCACCCACCACAAAATTCTGCTTTGCATCCCCCTTTCATTCTGTCATCCCCTGAACCAGTCTGATTCCAATTGGTTTCTGGAAAGACAAAACAACTAAGAATGTCAACTAGTTTTATTCATCAAGTTTGTCCAATAAAAGCACAAATTCTCGTTGGAAAAAAAAAGAAAAGGTTTAAAACACATTTTACATTGCAAAATATGTCAGAGCTGTCTGTTTGCCTGTCTACAAAGCAACAACATCTTTCCATCACAAGCCCTGATGCTGCTAAGAGGGTTTTTAAGGACTAGTATTTCAAATAATGACAAAGATGTACAACTGGTTTGACTAAAAGGTTACATTTAAATTGAAGAGATTTTTGATAGTGTCATACATATTCCATCTAACATATAGCAAAATAACAATTAAGAAGACATCTGTTTAGTTATGTCTGATATACAGATAAATGAAACTGGAGCATGTAAGACCTCTATAAAACTTTGGTGAAACTGTGGGCCATATTGGATACGTATTGCTGAGGAAGAAGTATTGAAGAGAGAAGTTGAAGCTATGGAGTTATCTACCCCAATTTCAATCAAAATGGATGCTTGGAGCTAGGAGCAGAGCCCATGAGAAGGGGATTTTGACCACTGCTTGGACCTTGCTATGGTCAATTCTCTGGCCTGTGCTGATAGGTGCCAGCTAATAGAGAAAAACAAGTGACTATTAAGAACAAAAAGTGTGTGGTCTAGTAATTAAGGCCCTCATCTAGGGATCAAGAGAGTTGTGGGTTCTATTCCTGGCTTTGCCAATGACCCTGGGTGAGTCACTTCACCTTCCACCCTTCATCTGTCTGTTTAGATTATAAACTCACTGGGACAGGGACTGTCTACTACTGTGTGTATGTTGAGTGCCTACTTCTAGTAAAATAGGGCTCTATGCACCCGTAGGCCATCTAGGTGCAATCAAAGAATAACATTAGTAATGATACTGGAGGCCTACAGCCCACCACCTTCTCCCAGTGCAAAATTAATCTGATAAAAACTGGAATATGTTTGTAAAATGTGAGGAAACAGGGCCCTTTAAGAAAATACTCAATGTACACGTCCGCACAACTAATGCAATCACATCTGGAATTGGGGAGAAATCTTTTCAGGGAGGGAACAGGGAAAAAAGGGGAATGGGGAAGAAACATTAAGCACAGGTTGCTTCTTGGTTATCCATTGGGATCTCGGCGCCATAGCTGCTGTCTCCGTACTGACAATAGGGAGGTATTTGTGGAGCTTCAATGATCAGCAAACCCTCTGGTGATAGGGAAGCAAAAACTGTGGTGGGATCCACCTCATATGGGAGTCTGGAAAGAGAAATGGAAAATTAATGGATCTGCCAATCACTTTTTCAGCATCTATCTCTTGCTCTCCTCCCACCCCCGCCACGTGCTTTTCATACAAGCACTTGTGATTGTTACCTGCATTTTATTTTCCAAAAATGGGGTTTCTGGGACTTTCATTTTGGCATCACAGCATCCTATGTTGCTACATCATTACTGACTTGTCTGGCCTTCATATTTTCCACTGGACAACATTGCCTAGGAATAGCCAAAATGGCTAGAGTCCTTCAAGGATACAAAATTTGTATCTGGGTCCATATCTGCAAAAATGAGCTGAAGATACCTGCACCAATATCCCTGGCTGCGGCTACCACGGCTATAAAGAAAACATCCACGGATTTGCAGGGATCTAAATACTACTGCTGACGAACACAACTGCTCTATAGAAACGTAGATGCAAGTCTCTCAGGGTTATGTCTACACTGCATGACCATTCTGAAATTAGCTATTCTGGAATAGTTATTCCAAAATAGCTTATTTTGAAATAGTACGTCTACACTGCAGGGAAAACTCAAAATTAGTGCAAGGCAGGCTTCCCTAATGTAGACATGCCATCTTGATTTAGAGCTGCAGGAGGCACTGGGGAGGAATAACATAGAATGGCCCTGGTGAGGAGCGATTTCAAAATAGCAGCAGTGGAGCGTCTACACTCGCCTTATTTTGAAATAGCCAGGGCTTGACAAATAATACAATCTACTTGCCCGTGGCGAGTTGACTGAAACCCGGAAGAGCCGGGTTCGGGCGATCTGTGCATGCGCAGATCGCCGGATAGCCCGCCTGGTGAGCAGGGCTCGCCATGGTTTGGCAAGCCCTGGAAAGAGCTATTTCAGATTAAGTATTTCCTTGTAGAATGAGGTTTAGAGAAGTCAGAATGAGCTGCCCACTATTTCGAAATTATTTCCAAATAACAGAATGGCTGTGTAGATGCTCGCATTGTTATTTCAAAATAACGCTATTTAACTCAAAATAACGATGCAGTGTAGACACACCCTAATCAATTGATTCTTAAACATAGATAGACGATAGTTCATCTGTAAGGACCATGAAGCTGAGTAAAATGTCTCCATGATTTGAGGGCAACAAATATTGCTAATAAATAGCAATTAAAAAATTATGAGGCACATCTAAGATATTCAACTGTAGACTTTTCTTTGCAAATGATCTTTACACTGCTTTGAATACACCCATGGAAATCCTCATTCAGGAATGGCATAGCCAGTTGTCACTTTCAGAGAATATGGTAATTAATAAATTGGACTAAATGCATTTAAGAAGAATGGCGCTAAGTGTAACGCACAGGACTAGATCTCAATAGTCTTGGAATCTTAACCACCCTGGCAGAGATTTGACTATGTCACTTAATCAGATCTTTCTGTGCTTCCGTTTCCCTGTCTGTAAATTGGTAGTGATAATATTTACATACATCATCGGCTCTTATGAAGCTAGATTGATTAATGTTTGTAAAGAGAAGCCCAGATGAAAAAACTATACATATGTAGAAAGAATGATTTATATTAAAATGAATTAATCTTAAGCAGATCCAGAAACTCATTTACCTGCACAGAGAACTGGTAATGCAGGTTTATTGGTATTATTGATTATTATTATTATAACTGCGCATATATATGTAGTTTTAAAGACCTGTCTTAGCCTTTCAAGATTTTCTGTTTAATCTCCTCTGCAGCTATGTTTGACTAGGTGTCACTCGCAGCTTATGAAGCTTGAACTTGTGCAAAGCATAAGCAAATCATCTTTATATCACAGCCTGCGTCATGGCAAAAAAATCCATGTCTAAATAAGGAGCCTCTCTGGTTACTGAGTAGCTTGCCTGGGCTGGGCTAGGAAGCATAAGTTTTACTTTCACACTGTTATCTCCAATCCCACCCAACGAGTTTGTACTCAGATTGGCTTGCATCTGGGCAGGGAAGCCTCAATGCAGAGTTTGCTTCAATTTGGATTTCCAAAGAAATCCCCCATTCGGTTGGGGGCAGAGTGTAGGTGGGCCCAGGCTGGCAGTTTAGGAAGGCCATGCCTTCCCCCACCTAACATACCAGCTGCCGGAGGGGGTGGCCACACAGCCACAAACCTAAATCCACTCTGACCGGGGAACACAAATCTCCCCAAAGCTGTTACAGCCCCTGGGCACTGCTAGTGACAGCAGCACAGCCACATCCTGCTCCACTACAGCACTGAACGGGGGAAATCCCTCTCTGCTGTTTTGCTCCTACTCCACATTCTCAGGGAGAGCCCAAAACAGGAGGCCTGACTTTGGTCTCACCCAGGTAACACCACCAACATGAGTGCTTCTTACTCCAGACTTACACCACCCAAGTGGCAGCAGGGTCAGGCCATGCTGCAGAAGACAGGAGAGTGCGGGGCCAGGTGGGCTACTCCATCACAGCCCTATGTACTGAACAAGAAGGCCTGGTAAGGTGATTCTGACATTTAAGGGCAGGAATATCTGGTTTGGGAGGGGGAGAGGAGCTAGCATCCCAGGGCAAGAGGTTCTAATTTCACCGAGGGCCCCACCTGACGCATTTATAGTATCCTGAAAAAACTCTGCCTTTCGCCAGTTCTGATCAGACAGTTTCACCATGCCATAAGCAAGGGGCTCTTAAAGTCAATGTACCCACCACTTCTCACCTGTTAAATACATGGCTCAGCTGAAAGGTGCAAAGTGAGTACTGTAATCTAGGACTTTGTCTCCCAGTCCAGCCAAGCACCTGAATGTGTGCATAACTTTAAATACACAAGCTGTTCCACTAACCTCTCTTTGGCTATGTCTACAAAGAAGCATTATATATTGTCTGCCATCTACACTACAAGCAGTTATTTCTACATAGTGTCAAAATAATGGCAAGCTGGAAGACGTCTTACTCCAACTCCTATAACCCTCATTACACGAAGAGTAAGGGAAGGAGAAGGAGGAGTGCTCTTTCTCGGACTTCCTGTGCAGTCAGCGCCAAAAGCCAAAATAAGCTATTTCAACTTCAGCTATGCAATTGACATAGCTCAAATTGCGCAGCTTATTTCGGCTTTAGCCCTGCGGTGAAGACATGCCCTTTAAGTTATAAGTGTTCTGAAGTGTTTTCCTGACCTTCAGTCTTTGTTTCCATTCTGTGCCCTTTTCATTGTCTTTTTAAGAGTAAGCAATTTTTAAAAGTTAAAAAAAAAATTAATAAAAACTCCTTTTTTGAACCTGCGTATCCTTTTCCTGACAGTTTTGACTTCCCCCACTCATCTAGTTTTTGGAGGCTATGACATAATTTTCTTGCTCCCCTCCTTTGTCTTTATTTCCCCCGACATAAACACTCCAGACAATTCCAAAAATATTGTCACAATAAAAATAGTTAGGGTTATGGCTGGGTAAAGAGTAAGAAAAGATCCTTCATTTTGCCTTAATTATGAAATATTTATGAGCACCATGAGCTAATGGGACATTTGTCTTGTGTTACAGACCCACCATGGGACTCACTTAGCCAGAGTCAGGGATATCACAGGCAATAAATCTGTCATGTCTGGCTGTGATCTGGGAACACCCACCAGCTTTAGCCCTTCCTACTTGTCCAATCTGGTTCCTTTCCAGCCTGTTCTGTCCAGCTTTGACTTTCCTGGCAATGGAAAGAATATTTGCAAATATGTCGTGACATTCAGGTCTATGCCTGTCTGCATTCTGTATACTGTGACAGGGTAGGTTATAGGACTGGATGGAAGGGCAGAGAGTCAGCTCTAAAAAAAAAAACCAGACCATCAACAGCCTAAGACAGGGCTGCTATAAATCAATTAAGAGCCAGGTGAGTGGATTTCAGGCGCCCTGGGACCTATTTAAAAACCTTGGGGGTGGGGGGATAGAGGAGAGTGGAACTGATAAGAAGAATCAAAGAGGCTGAGGAGAGTAACATCAGCACTGACAAAGGCTGCAGGGGGAAGCGAGGGGCTCTGACAGGGAGTGTTTGGAGGCCCCCTTCCCCCTAGGTGTCTAGAAACTTCAGCAGGTAGCTGAGGAGGACTGTTTACTCAGTCCTGATTAAACATTCCTGAGTATGCCAAAGACAGAAGTCCAAAAGCCAAGAAAAGGCAAGTGGGACTTGTCCTGTGGCCTTTAAACTGTGGGATAGTGGTCAGAACAGGGGTCTGGGACCCAGGAGCGGGACTGACCCTGCCACAATACACAGAAGCTTAAACATGTATGCAGTGAAGATTAAACACTCACACCCCAACCACACTTTGTGCCTTTGTGGCTGAAAAGAAGCTGTCAGGCAGTGGAGTTAAAACTTGGAATTGTCTCAGGATGTCTAGTTCTTGGCCCTTCAAAAGAGCATTTTTGTCTATAAACTACAGGCAGTCCCCGGGTTACGTACAAGATAGGGACTGTAGGTTTGTTCTTAAGTTGAATTTGTATGTAAGTCGGAACTGGTACGTATTGTAGGGGAAACTCTAGCCAAACATTTCTCCAGAGCTCAGTTTTATTCTCCCAAACCTCACTTCCCTCAGTCCTTTATTCTCAAGCTGAGGTGTCTGCTGAGAAAAGCCGCTCTGCATCTCCCTGGTCTGCTGGGAGGGGTGCTAGCTTCGCATCTCCCTGGTCTGCTGGGGGGGAAGCAGCTAGTGTGGGGTTGCCTCACTCCGTTTGTAAGTAGGGATCCGATGTAAGTCGGATCCATGTAACCCGGGGACTGCCTGTATAAAGTGCTCTTCAAAGCTGGGCAAGACATTAGAACTGTTTTACAGATGAGGAACCTGAGTCACAGTGACACAGCAGGTCAATGACAGAAAAGGGAATAGAATCTAGGTCTCCAGCCTTCTAGGCATGTTATAAATGTAGTTTCCCCTACGAGTGTACAATTCCGTGAAATAGACATAAGTCTGCAATCAGACTTGAACTGCCCTGAAGGGAAATTTGGAGCTGGATTTGATTTGACCTCTTCTCTAGTAGACAGCAGTGAATTTTGGGAGCATTTGGCCCTGAAGATAAGAGGAATTTGTTGTCTTTGGCTTGTTTTCTAAGACATCCCATAAGGGGCCTGTTTTCGCAGGAGCACCTGTTCAGTAGGAGCAGGATGGAGACACATAGACTCATCTCACTCCTCTCACCACATGGAAATGTCTTTCTCTGTCACGGTCAGGCTGGGGTTGAATGTGAGCTAGTAAGAACATTGCCATCAGCTGTGCAGTCTTGTGGCTTTAAATTTCATAGAGCTTTCTGGAGCATGACTCATTCGCATCGTGTAAGTATCAAGGACTTCAGTGGGTTTTTTTTTTTTTGTTATTACTCATGTACTCATAAATAGTTCAAAAAGATATTGTGGCATCATCGGTCCAAATTTATTCCTGGTGTAACTCCACTGAAGTCAGTACGATGACATAAGAGTGAACTTGGCCCCTGAGCTCTTTTGCACAAACACAGACTCGGGCTTGTAATAACAAAGTCTGAAGGAATGTGGTTTTGTGGGCAGGGAATTCAACACTTTTTAAACACATTTCACTGATTTATGTTTCCCACCGAGCTTTACCAGGAGCCAGACTTTATGGCTGTGGTTTTCAAAGCTGTCCAGGATGTTAGATACATAACTAGGGATGTAAAATACCTTGTAAATTGTTAACTGGTTAAGCTATAGGTTTAACCAGTTAACTGCCTGCCGTGCTGGGCTGGGAGGGCAGTTCCAGCTGGGCTGGATGGCAGTTAACTGTTTGCTCCAGTAAGCATGCGGGTAAGGTAATGCACACTGGTTAACCAATGGAACTTTTACAACCATATACACAACTCTAACTAATGTCAATGAGAATTTTGTCTTGGTCAACTAGGAAGCCTTGAAATATCTTAGTCTGTTTGCTGGTGGACTCCATGCAGGTGGGGTGGGAAGGGAGGAGAGGAAGGCTCAGCATCTGCTGAAGAGGATGGAGCGGATGGCTGCTGGTAGGGCTGGCCTCTGAGACCAATGCTGAAATCATACCCCAATACAGTGTTACAGTGGGGTTTGGTAACTGGCTCCAATAGATGGACTTGGAGGCCGCCCTTTCAAGCCAGAGAGCTTGCCACCAGTTTCCCTAGGAGTACACGGCCTGTAATAGGACTTCAGCATCCATATTAACCCCATCTAGATGAACCGTAAGGCTGCATCTACACTGGCATGATTTTGCGCAAATACTTTTAACCGACACAGTGTTACAGTGGGGTTTGGTAACTGGCTCCAATAGATGGACTTGGAGGCCGCCCTTTCAAGCCAGAGAGCTTGCCACCAGTTTCCCTAGGAGTACACGGCCTGTAATAGGACTTCAGCATCCATATTAACCCCATCTAGATGAACCGTAAGGCTGCATCTACACTGGCATGATTTTGCGCAAATACTTTTAACCGAAAAGTTTTTCTGTTAAAAGTATTTGCACAAGAGAGCATCTATACTGGCATGTGCCTTTGCGCAAAAGATGTTCTTTTGTGCAAAACCATCTGTGCCAGTGTAGACGCTCTCTTGCGCAAGAAAGCTCCAATGGCCATTTTAGCCACCGGGCTTTCTTGTGCAAGAAATTAACGTTGCCTGCTACACTGGCCCTCTTGCGCAAGAGGGCTTATTCCTGAGCGGGAATGTTAGAGTATTTGCGCAAGAACCACTGATTTTGTACATTACAAAGTCAGTGTTCTTGTGCAAATACTCATGGCCAGTGTAGACAGGCGGCAAGATTTTGCGCAAAATCATGCCAGTCTAGACACAGCCTAAGGACACAATCTGCCCGTTGGCCTATCCCATTGAAATCCATGGGACCCACGTCATCTAAGTGCAGCATCTGTCGAGCAGAGAGTTGAGGGAGAAGGACATAATGACTTGCTCAGAAGATAATTTCATGCTCTGAAAAATAAGAGACTCATCATTCCCAAGTCCCGCATTCCTCTTCTCTCTGCCCCAATACAGAAGTCAGCCCTACCAGACAAGTGCCAGATAAGCAAGAACCGAGAGAAACCACTGTGTATATTATACATACTGGATTTTCTTGGTGAAGTTCTTGGAGACAATTCCTCCTTCTACCTGTTGCTCTTCATGTTTACCTGGAGGGGACAAGAAAACACAATGTGATGGGCTCACCAGGCTGTTTTATGAATTGGAAAAAGAAGTTCCACTTGGAATTTTCTCCCCTCCCCCACGTTCAAATCTCCCTTCACAGTTGACCCAGCAAAGCTCCTACTCCTAGAAGAAAAATAACACGGGGAGAGACATATAGTGAAGGAACCTGCTGTAATAAGCCTAAAATTTAGCAACAAAACAGGAACCGTGGAAGAAGGAACTCTGCCCTCTGCATCTAGGTTAGTGGGCCTAGATCTGCTCTCCCTTACACCAATGCAATTACATTGGCCTCCATGGAGTTGTTTCTGATTTACACCAATGTGAGAAGATAGTTAGGTCTGGCCTCTCAATGATGAATTGTAAGTTGGTGACATGGGGTCAAGGCTACCCTACCCTTTATATTCTGCTAAATGGGAGGGACTCTTAGACAGAGGGAAGGTTACAAGGAGATGACTAGGTATGGAAGAGATGGAGAAACACTGATCTAAGACAACCTTCTAAAACACTGATATAAGACGACAATCTAAGACAACAGCCAAAAGCATGTGGACAATCCAAGTTCTAGATGAAGCAAATACAGAAAAACCTGTTCTCACTTCCACACTATCCAGAAAAAGGAATAGGTTAATTGGGTAATGCTTTTAGAGGGCCTGTTCCTGTACCATCAAAGCCAATGGGGACTTTGCTCTTGGCTCCAACAAGCCCTGATCCAAAGTGCTCAGGATGTGACAACCAATCAGCGCTACTGGAAGATTTGAGGCGAGAGGGAATGGGGGGTGGACAGAGGCAAAAATAGTGTGTTAAAGATACTTAGAATGCAGTGTAGCAAGGTGCTTTTTGACTGTTTGAACAGCTGGAGACAGATCAATAAAAAAAAAACAGGAAAATCTATATAAATTCACGGGCAAGAGGGTTTAAATAACCTGACGCATTGACAGGTGAGGTCTTGGTGGGCCCAGTTTTCTGGCACTGCTGGCTGTTTCGTATTGCTGCAATGAGCAGAGAAACCCACACAATGGGAATAGTTTAAGTCAAGCTTCGGGGAAGCACCTGAACATTTGTGTGCAAGGCATGGATGAAGATTTCACAGCAGCTGTAAGTGTGTCCTGTATCACCACCCATTATAGTGACATGCCCGTCAAATTATCAGAGTCTCCCACCCAGCGTTGTAAAAAATGGTTGTGAATCCAAAAGTGATTCAGTGTGGGAGGTTAAGAGAAGTAGCTGTAGCTAAAGAAATGAGGCTATGTCTTAGGGAGGACTGTGACAGTCCACACCTCCACCTTCTTCCTCCTGATCTGCCTCTCTCTTAGCTAGTGGAGCTCCCCTTTCAGCGTAAGTGGTGAAGACCCATGTTTTCTGAGCTGACGGCATGGAGTGACTGTGGGAGATCTAGCTATATGTGGCTGGGGTTTGCTACACTAACATCAACCTCCAATGAAACATGGAATTAACAAGGTGCGCTGAACTTCTCTGCTCTGTCTCTTTGGTTTCACCAACCCCATGCATTAAAAATTCATGAGTAAGCCCCGTGCAAACCATGACATTGGCTTAGCAATCATGAAAAAATGTTTTCTGAGCTTTTAAGTTCACCGTCAGGCCACTTTTTGACACTTCACAGCAATAAGGGCTAGAGCGTTATCTTTACTGCATAGCGAAAGCCAAGATTCTCACTGGATTCACTGGATTCCATGCCTCCAGGTCCTCGAGCTTTAAGAAAAATCACTAATAATCATGAGACCCCTATTGAAATCTCATGAGGTGGCAACACTAGTGCCCTCGTATGTGTCTGCAATGTCTCTGGCCCACTTTGGGTGCTCCTTAGCTATTGATAATGGACAGGTAATCACTCTCTGCTACACAATGGCCAATATTCGGATTCAGCTTCCTCAGGGTTAAATTCCAGAATGGAGCACGTGGCTGAATTAGAACATTGTGTCAGAGAGCAGTGCTAAGGGTGAAACATTATTGGAGTTGGTTCTGGGCAGATGTCTCTAATTAAACCTGGGGCATTGTCTGCCAAGCAACAGACTGACAGAAAACCCTATGCCTTGTTTTTGTGTTTAAATGCAAGTTTAAAATCCAAGTGGATGCTCTGTGATTCTTCGTTACATGGCAGATGTATAGCTCAGAGGCCTATAATAAATATACTGAAGTAGATGTGGAAAAATAATTAGAGGGTCCCAATTGTGATCTCACACCTGCATAAATCAGCAGTGACCATATGGCGGTATACAGTTAGGACAGAATCCTAGAACACTAGAACTGGAAGGGACCTCGAGAGGTCATCGAGTCCAGTCCCCTGCCCTCAAGGCAGGACCAAGCACCATCTAGATCCAGAATGGAGCTGGGAGAAATTCTTCAGACAATAAACTCTCTTCATTGACAGATACAGATTCAAGCAGACGTAAACGTATTGTGAATCTGTGAAGAATTTGCTGTGTAGCATCTGTTAATCACCTCCCCCACCTCCCAAAAAATCAAAATAGTCAGTACTGCAATTACCTAGGGCAAATGTTTTGATTTTTTAAACTGATTTTCTTTCAAATTTAATTTTTTTGTTTTAAATGTACAAAAATCCAAAAAACGAAAATGGACCGTTTGTTTTGGTCCCGAACAAACCACCCCTCCTGACTTTTTCAGTTTGGCCAGCAAACAAACAAACAAACAAACAAACAAACAAATTCAGTTTGGTGCCCAGCTCTGGTCCTGTTTCAGACTTGCAGTGACAGCTGCTGACCCAGTGGCAGAATTTACCAGAAGACACATACTTTATTGATGGGGAGCAGAGGGCTTCCTACAGAAAGAATCACCCCTTCCCCAAGTCAAATGCCGCAGGAAGAAAACTGGTTTCTAGCTGCAACTCCTTAGTTCCATTTTGAAGGCAGATTCTGCCTTCATGGCAGCGGGTGCAACTCCCATCGATTTCACCTCTCAGAAGGAGTTACCTTCTTTGCTCTCTACGGGGGCAGAGGCCCAAAGAGCTGCCATCAGCTACAAGGTCAGGTTCCAGCCCGAGAGGGAAGCTCCTACCAGCAGGCAGCTCAGACATGTTGACTTACAATTTAACAGATCAACTCCGAACCACAAGGACATGCCCTCTCCCCCTGTGGCATTCCCAGACCAAGCTGGGAATGAATGGGGGTGTCCTTTTGTTTGGTTCATCCTGGCCTTTACTCATTTGTTCCTTTGAAAGAGTCTGTGGGCCAGAATTCCCCAGGTGCATCCCAATGCTCCTGCAGGAGTCCCTTCTGGAAGGGGGAAGACCTTTCCTCTCAGGTAAGCCGCCTCCTCTGGCAAGGCTTAGCAAGCTCTCTCCTGCTCTCCCTAGGCTTACTCTGGGTTATGGTCACTTTTGCTGTGGCTTCCCTTACTTCTTTGAAGCACAGAAATCCAAGCCTGGTGAGATCCATGAATAATCCATATTCTCCCTCCATCAGCATAGGATTGGCTTAACACTTTACCCACTCTGGTCTGATGGGTCATTGCACTCCCAACGTTTTCCCATTGTTTTGCTGTAGTACCAGTCTCCCTCCTGACATTTCAGGCTGAAAGCACATCTCGATGGACTCCCCCCCTCCACCCTTTCCCTCCCAGGAGCGGCCTTTATGTAATTCTCTCCTATCCCTAGTATAACCCTCTTCCTTCCTTCCTGGGGGATGGGCAGGTGGTCAGAGCACTTACTGCTCTTGTCTCTGAATCAGCTCCTTAGCTGGAGTAAACCAGCACGGTTCTTTTCAAGTCAAGGGAGTGAAACTGGTTTAAAGCAGCTGAAGAGGCAGCCATGGTTCTTTTACTTTTCAGCTGTTCAGACCCAGAGCCGCATTATGACTTTCATGGGCCCTAGGCACTTTTGCCTTCGTGGGCTCCTTCCTCCATAAAACAAATATATATTAAAAATTATTTTTGATATAACTTTAAATACTTCAACATTTTTTTTCTGTTTGAGGCAAAATGTAATAGATTTTCGTGGGCCCTAAAAGTTTCAATTTTTTCTGATGTGAGAAAAAAACTAAAACATTTTCTTCGACCCTAAAAGTTCATTTTTTTCCTTCTGATTTTAAAAGACATTAAAACATTTTCATGGGCCCCTAAAAGTATCGTGGGCCCTAGGCACTGTGCCTACTGGATAAGTCGCTTCCTTCCCCCTGGCGCTTGCTTAGCAGGGCTGTGGAAAGAGAATCTCATCAGGGATTTTTTTCCCCCTCTGCCCACTTTGTTTTCCTGGTAACACGTTATTTTTAATGCTGCATTAATTGCAGGGGAAATCACAATAGAATTTTTATGGACGAGCTTATGGCCTCTTCATTCGGCACCAGCGAATTGGCTCTGTCATCAGTGTTATTGCTGGGGCTGCTAAATGAATTAATGATTAGACACAACGTAAAGAAAGGGTTCCCCCTCCCCCCAGGTTATTTCTTTTGTTGTTTCTACTCTGTTAACCTCTCCCTTTGTTTTCCAATTTTATGTTCGGTTTCCATCACCCTTCCCTGACTCCATTGCACAATGTATGTGCTTTTTCTCCTGGGTTGTTAATCCTGCCTTATTTTAAAACCTCCACTTAACTCTTTGCACTCATCTCTTTCCCAGCCCCCCAGCCTCCTGCTTTTCTTTTGGTCTAGTTGTCCTGCCCCTTTAAGACATGCT